AAGTAAGAGAAAGGTTTCACCCCTATACCACACCGAAGCGTACCGACAGCTCCTCTTACCCAGCTCTCTTTCACATTAAGACCATAGATACTACTTTTGCTGTAATTAATCTTCAACCCTGACATTATCTCAAACCATCTTAGAATAGCTTTGACCATAAGAATATTTTCACTGTCAACTCTTCCCAAAATAACCGTATCATCTGCGAATTGCAACAAGGAGACCGTCAGCCCCCTTTTGCCAATCTCTATTCCCTGTAGCAGTCCTTCAGACTCTGCCTTTTTAACCAATCCATTTAGCCCCTCCATAATCATCAGAAATAGGAATGGGGACAAAGGATCCCCTTGCCTCAACCCTCTTTCCAAATCAAACTCCTCCGTTGGGCTGCCATTCACCAATATCGAACACCGTGCTGTTGAGAGGCATTCCTTAATCCACCCCCTCCATTTGGCTCCAAAACCAAATCTATCCATCATCCAATCCAGATATGTCCAGTTAACACAATCGTAGGCTTTTTGAAAATTTGCCTTAAAAACAAAAGCTGGTGTCTTCCTATTCTGAACCTCGTCCACAACTTCATTCAAAACCAAGACACTATCAACTAATTGTCTTGCCCCAATGAAAGCAGATTGTGTTTCACTGATAATTTCTGACATAACGTTTTTAAGCCTATTAGCTAGCACCTTTGACAGTATTTTGTACACACAACCGATCAAACTAATAGGCCTAAAGTCTTTCAATTCCCTAGGATTCATCTTTTTAGGGATTAACGTAAGGAAAGAAGAGTTCAGCCCCTTTACTATTTTACAACTTTGATGAAATTCATGAAAAAATGCAACAAAATCATCCTTAATGCTATTCCAGAAAAATTTGAGGAAGTTTAGATTATACCCGTCAGGCCTCGGGGCTTTACTTCCATCGCAGCTCTTCAATCCTTCTTCAATCTCCTCAACAAAGAAGGGCCTCTCAAGCCAAACCATCTACTCATCAGAAATTTTCTTGAAATCAATATTTGAAGGCTTTGGCCGATCCCATGGATCTTCTTGAAACATCTTGCGGAAGTACGACATCACCTCTTTCTTAACCATAGCTGGTTCCTCTACCCAGTGACCATCACTCATTATTCCCTGGATGCTATTAAGTGTCTTTCTCCCATTTGCAACCTTGTGGAAGTATTTGGTATTCTGGTCCCCCAACTTAACCCATTCGCTTCTTGATTTTTGCTTCCATATAGCCTCTCTCACCCTCAACATGTCCCATATCTGCTGAAAGCCTTCTTTCCTTTGTTTCACCTCGCTTCTCTCCAGATCCACCACTTCGTTTTTCAAATCAATCCTCTCAACTTTTCCAGCAACATTTTTGAATTGTGCTTCCATGTTCCCGAACACCTCTTTATTCCAGCCTTTTAGAAATTCTTTTAATCTCTTTAGCTTGTTCAAGCATCTGTATCCAGCATACCCTTCCACATTTAATTCCTTCCATTTGTCCTCCACCGCCTTCCTAAATTGTGGGTGTTGTTGCCATGCATCGAACACTCGAAACGACTTCGGTCCCCAATCTGCTGTTGATGTTTTGACCATAATCGGACAATGATCTAACACAGTCCTTTTCAGTCCTTTCTGCACCCATTCCCTTCCCATATTGCACAACTCATCCGACATCAGGACCCTGTCTAACCGACTCATAGACGATCCATCCGGCCTGTACCACGTGAAACGTCTATTGGCCAACTTTAAATCCACCAACCCAGCTGACACAATAAAATCATCAAAATCCCTCATTTCCGTTGTCTCCCTTGACTTACCCTTCTTTTCATTTGCACACCTAACAGCATTAAAATCTCCAGCTATCAGCCATCCGCCTTCCTCCTCCACTATCATGTGCGAAAGTTCTTCCCACAGCTTGAGTTTCTTCTGTCTATCATTTGGGGCATAAATATTCACCAAATTACACTTTAACTTCTGATGTCCCCATTCACCTGAGATACCCACAAACCCGTCACCTGAAAATTCCTTTTGTTTCACAAATTCTAACCTATTCCAAACACACAACAAACCTCCAAAAGCACCTACCGATTCCTTCATCACCCAATCAAATTCATTTGAAAACCACATCATTTTGCAAAGATTCCCCTGCACCCTCTCTAATTTTGAACTTCTGATGTCCCCATTCACCTGAGATACCCACAAACCCGTCACCTGAAAATTCCTTTTGTTTCACAAATTCTAACCTATTCCAAACACACAACAAACCTCCAAAAGCACCTACCGATTCCTTCATCACCCAATCAAATTCATTTGAAAACCACATCATTTTGCAAAGATTCCCCTGCACCCTCTCTAATTTTGTCTCCTGCAGAAATAATACATCCGGTCGCTCCGTTTTTACCATTTTTCCCACCTCCTTTCTCTTCAACACACTCCCTAGCCCTATCACATTAAATGATATTAATTTCATAAAAAACTAAAATAATCTCACACCCATCCTTACTGGATCGCTAATGCCCTATCTATCCCCTCCCCTGCCCTTCGTCCCTCACCTCTAACTCCATTAATCTTGACTGAACTTCCTCATCATTATCACCCACTTCTATCCCCAAACGTTTGCCTAAATTAAAAATCCTTCTTACCTCCTGTACATTCATCTCTCTGCGTATCACCTTGTTTCTGTGAGCTATGCACCCATCAGACAAGGAGTAGCTCCCAGCCCGTTGATCCTGCACCTCCGCCCCAATCTAGACTGTCGGGAGTTCTTTCTGGTTTCGGTGAAGCCTCTGCATGGTTCTGTCTAATCTCTCTTGAGCCCTCCCTTCACCTTCTGCGAGCTTCTCTTGTGGGTAACAAGCTTTGAGATCTTTCTTTTTCTTCTCTCTCAAATCCCTAGTTCTCAATTTAGCACCATTATTTAACTCTCCCTCTAATGTCCCCTGCACATCACCTAAGTTGCCGATTGATATCTTTGGCCCATTCCCGGTGTCTGTAGATTCTTGCACTTGAGAAATGCTCACATTCAGCCCATACTCTTCTTCAGGCCCATCTTTTGCATCCCTTTTTAGGCCCTTTTGATTATTGAGCCCATCCAACTCCTTGTTCTCCTCTCTCACAGACCCCCTGCTCTCTGTTATTGCCCCTTTTTTTGAATTTGAAATTCCCATTGCCTCTAGCCATTCCCCATCAATCTCCTCTACGTCATCTACGTCATCTACATCATCACCTCGAATCACAGAATAATTGAGCTCGTGATCCTCTTCACCCTGTTCCGACGAGGAATCATCGGAAATCGTCTCTGCCTCCTCCCTCCGATCATCCTCCGTCAGCCACCAATCCGGGTCTGCCCTCCACTCTTCCTCCGTCACTCCAATCTGATACAACTTTTCGTCCACTTTCAACTTCAAAGTCTTTGCAATTTTGTTCCTTTCAGAACATAAAATCATCACTCTTCCATCACACAAAATCGACTTGGATTTTGTATCTTCATGCACCAATACTACTTCCCCTAACAAAGCTGCTATCATCTCAAAACATCTTTCACTCCAAGCTTTTAAGGGGACTCCAGATATACGCACCCAAACCAGTCTACCATAATTTTGAGGTGCCTCATCCCATGGGTGTATTTTCTCACACCAGAGCTCAAATAACTCTTTGTGTTGTATCACATATTCCTTCAAATACCCCGCCAATCTCTCCGTTAATAGTATGGTTCTCCCTCCCAATGGTGATATATTTATCAACCCCCCATCCACATCCAATCTCTCTTGGATAATAGAGATCATTGACATGGACTTAACCACTACTACCATGCTCCCCTGCAACCATTCATTCTCCTCTTTCAATGGGCAGAAATCAATGATTTCCTCCCTGTTGAAACCCGAGTTCACCGCTCCCTCCTTTTCCTCGGAGCTTTTCCCCTTAAGACTCGCAGACTTCCTCTGAATGATAGATATTCTATCCATAGCTGCAGATTTCTCCTTCTTTTCTGCTTGTTTATTCAGGACCAGAGCACCATGTTTCCTTGAATTCCCCATTACCGCCTGAACGTATGACAAACCTGGTTGTACAAAACGCTGCTCTCTGATGCCCTCTTTCAGCCTAGCACTTCTTCGATGCTCAAAACTTCTCTGTACCCTGTCAGTCCCAGTCTTCTTCCCCGCATTCCTCTGCCTTCCTATCTCTCGCTGCCTCCTGGAAGATGCCACTCTTGCCCTCAGCTTATAGGACCCGATCCATATCCTATTCAGTCTCTCTTCGAGTTGCTTAACATCTTGCACTCCTTGCATTCGGACAAAACCAAACCGTTTCCCCCATCTATCTCTCTTACTTGGTATAAACACATCAACAACCTTTCCATATTTCTGATACTGGTACCACAAAGCCTTCGCATCCCATTCCTCTGGGAAGTTGTAAATGAAGAACGATTCTACCTGTCCCTGAGTCCTATTCCTAGAATCTCCTCTCCTCCAGTTGTGCCCTTGCCGCCATCTGGATCTGCCGCCGTCCTGAGTCGCTACACCCCTCGCCATCCTCTTTTGAAGTTTCTGCAATACCAAAACCCTGATCTAATAGCTGTTGTTTGGAAGTGCACAACCGTAGAGATACTGAAATATTGTGTATCCATTGGATTATATACAGGGTCGGCTTCCAATTGAACAAGATGTAGCCGTAAAAAGGCTCTCTAGTGATTCTGGACAAGGAGATACAGAATTTAAGAACAAAGTTCTCTTAGTAGCCAAGCTGCAACACCGCAATTGGTCAGACTCCTTGGCTTTTGCTTGGAAGGAAAGGAAAGACTTCTCATCTATGAATTTGTGCCAAATTCTAGCCTTGATCAATTCATATTTGGTATGTACTTGTTTCATTTCTCTTTGAGTTCAAATTTCGAATTTTGTTCAAAAGTAATTTCATTTGAGTTTGCATATTTTGAAGGAGTTGCACCTCTTATGGTCGAGAAAAGGACTTGCAACTCTATGTCCTCTTTTTCCACTATGTTTTATATACAAGGTCCTTGTTTTGTTTTGGTAATTTGCATACTCACATGAACTATGAATATATAGATCCAATCAAGCATGCACAATTATATTGGGAAAGACGTTATGGAATCATTTTAGGCATTGCTCGTGGTCTCCTTTACCTTCACGAGGACTCTCGTCTTCGAATTATTCATCGTGATCTCAAAGCAAGTAACATTTTGTTAGATGAAGATATGAATGCTAAAATTGCAGATTTTGGCATGGCAAGATTATTTGGAAGAGATGAAACACAAGCCAACACTAGTAGAATTGTGGGAACTTAGTAAGTATATCAATGAAAAATAGTAAAACTGATTTTTTTTTCTCTTATACACACGTAATATTAGCTTTGTTCCAAATTCACAGCATAAAAGTACCAGGAATTATTTTATTTTTTTTATTGGCAAAATTAATTTATTAAAGCAAAAGAGGCACAAGATATGCCCACTAAAAGGGATTTTAATATGTATTGCATTACAATAATACTACAACATGTCTTTAAAGCTATCCTCATCATTTAATTGAAAATGATTTCTTTGGCATTAATATACATGCAGTGGATACATGGCTCCAGAATATGTAGTGCGTGGACAGTTTTCAGTAAAATCAGATGTTTTCAGTTTTGGTGTATTATTACTGGAAATTGTCAGTGGTCGGAGAAATAGTTGGTTTCAAAATGAGGATGTAGAGGATCTACTAAGCTGTGTAAGTTTGAAAATCTAACTTATGTTCCTCTGTTGTTAAAATAATAGTTCGAGTATTGGCTGGATCTCATTCGAATGTTGTATTCGGGTGCACATTTTTAACTTTTTCCAGGCATGGAGAAA